TTTCCATCCAGTTTGATTTGGAATTGCACGCTGCTGTACATGTCTTTAATGATGTTGTACATTGGGCCACTTATGTTGTGTTTTTGTAGTTTGTACAGGAGTCCATCTTGCCATACTGTATCAAAACATTTCTTGAGATCTATGAAACATGCATACAGATTTTTGTTCCTTGATTGATACTTTGTAATCAGTGTGTGTATTGTTAATATGTGGTCTATGGTTCTATGTCCTTTCCTGAATCCTGCTTGGTTTTTGTGTATGATGTTTTGTTTCTCTAGAAAGTTGATAAGTCTTGTATTTAGAATAATTGCGAATATTTTGCCTATATTGCTGTTAGTTGAAATGCCACGGTAATTTGATGGATCTAATGCATTGCCTTTCTTATGGATAGGTGTTATTGTATTGATGTTCCAAAGCTGTGGGTAATGTTCAGTAATAAGTACATGCATGGTTGTATAATAATTGTAGAGCTTGACTCAGAAGTGGGCTACCATATTTCAACATCTCTGGTTATTTTGATGATCCAATACAGTAAATGCAACTTCTGGTATATTTGCACTTGTAGCAAATAAGGTATTATGTGCAAGTCAATGTAAATCCCGACCCTCCCCACCTCAAGAGTTGATGAGGAATAAAACACACTAGAAATAGTAAATATATTATATCGTACCGCCAAGATCATCTTGTTTTCCCCACTCTACAAGGCCGTAAGAACCGTACTGGCCATACCGGCTATGGCCAGACCACTTTTGCACGTCCCCCTGGGCAGACGTGATCCTTCGGCACACGTTATCATACGCCTTGGGCCTACGCCCCTTGATGGATGGCCAAACCAACTAATTATTGCTTCCTACGCCCTTGCTCTACCCCATTCCTACACTATCATACCGAGGTTTTAAAACCCACAGGTGAGGAATTTCACGAGAAAATGCTCCAAACTTTCAAGCTTCTCTGAACGCTGCTATCCTTAGATTAGCCCTGTAATTGCCGCCGCATACTTCAAAAGGGGGTGTGTTGGGGTTTCCAGTGACTCGTGCATTACATGAGCACTCTTATACAAAATCTCTTTTCCTCAAAACAACTAAACGTGTCCTGTAGAGGGGCATATGCAATTAAAATGGAGGGACACCAATAAACTCTTACCCACAGAATAAACGGATATTAGTTCAACGACCCTTTCTAGTGTCCTTTTACTCTTACAGTGTCACATCTCAATATATAAAAAAACTAATCTACAAAAACTAACCTTGTTTGACGGGTTTTGTTTCTTCACGATGAGGGCGTACGTAGCAACCTGAAGGACGCTATGCAAGATACAAAACCATTTTACAGCCAATAACGGCGACGATATAACAATTATTTCATTCAAATACAGGTAAGGAATCAGGTGAAACATAACAACAAAGACACCCATTCCAAAGTTAACAAAGAAGAGGGATCGAATAGAAAGACTTTGTTGCAAACAGTCGGAGGATAAATCCATGGCGGCGGCCATCTTTACATGACCTCTGACCTAGTCAGGTGAAACATAATATAACTTTCATCCACTCTCGCTCCTTGTTTTGTCAATTCGTTGTTGAACGACACCATACACGAACGCACTGAAAATGTGTCGAAATTGTTATTAATTTTAAAATATATGTGTTTTCAAGTAGGTTTGACAGTGGAGAGGGGTTATAACGTATGATGAAAAAAAATACTCGTGTAAAATGATAAGTCTATTGTAAATGCACGTATACCCACGCGAAGGAAAAACACTGGATACGTATGTTGCCTGATGAAGAACAATGCATATTAGAAATAACAGCAAATGAAGTTAAAAGAGAAACCAATGATAAACTTGGAATGTTATGTTAACTGTATTTGGAACATGTCTTTTGCTTGAATGTCATGTAAGTTTATTTTTCTGTACCCCTGATCCCAGTAGACT